GCTTTGCTGCTTGTGCAAATGTCGACGGTCTGCGCCCACAAAGAATACAATCATACAATCTAATCTGATTGCACAATCAAGCAACTCAAAGTTGTGAAGATGACAGAAATGTCTGGCGTACCTCATGAAATGGAATTTATCAAATTTCTGCTTGGGAATTCACCACTGCTAGAGTCAATGACTATCTCACCTTGTATATATGTCATGGATGAGAAACTGAATATGCTAATTGAGTTGTTGAGGTTCCGCCGGGCTTCTGCTCAAGCAGAAATCTTATTCATTCAAGATTAAGCACCATCTACCACCCTTTTTCTAGAAACAATAAGCAGTGTGTAGTGCATGCCAAGCTTTTCATATTACATGTGCTAATACCTTTCCATTCTATTTGAACTAAGGACGGTAGGCTACAAGAGCATCTGTATGAATCGACTTTTGAATTGAAGGCCTTTAAAGTTATTTATCTATGTTTCCCATTCTACAATAGCATAAGCAATAGGCATTCTGAAAGGATAATTCTGAGAAAAATTTTTACTGCAAGTTGTTCACAATAAACTTCCCAGAAGAATGTTTCACTCACCATAAACTGGAAATGAGACACTCAACCCTAAATGTCAGTCTCTCTGAATTCAAATCTGTACAATCACAGAGTTTGACACATATTTAGTGCTACAGTATTATATATTGATTCTATACAACAAGCTCTTTCAACACATTCCTTTCCTTGGATTCCTTTCAGGATTTTAGCTCTCTTCTTGTTGGCAATTTCTGACCATTTACCTTCTGTTTCAGAAGTGAATGTCATCTGGGTCCTGAAAGCTCCATCGCTTGAGCAAGCAAGGAAGAATCATCGGTAAGATCAGAATATCGTTCTGAAGAGGAAAATTCATTGGCTCTGGACCTGCTTGCTTGAGCTCTCTGTGAAGCTTCCCATTTCTCAGCAAGTCCATCACCTTCAAGCATCCGAACCACTTCAGACATCTTCGGCCTGTCAATTGGAATGTACTGAGTGCATAAAAGAGCCACCCGAACCATTTCTTCAAGCTCGATTCTATCATAATCGTTCTTCAGGTCTTTGTCAACTAGCATTTCAAGTTTCTTTTCTTGGTGAATTTTTCTAACCTGCAAATGTCAATCAGAATAGTAATACACTGCACGGTATATTATGACTAACAAATTTTCTGGCGGGTAAAAATATCTTGTTTAGCTCACCCAATCGAGCATGGCGCCTTTCTGGTTTGCCGTTTTCCCAAACTCTAGAGCTCTTAGGCCAGATATCAGTTCAAGTAGAAGAATACCAAACCCAAAAACATCTGTTTTCTCTGAGGACTGCCCGGTTGATAGATATTCTGGTGCTATATGCCCTACTGTGCCCCTCACAGCCGTTGTGACATGGGATTCATGATGATCCAACAGCTTCGCCAAACCAAAATCTCCTACAACAGCCTCACAAATATCATCAAGCAATATATTTGCAGCTTTAACGTCTCTGTGAATGATCTTTGGATCACATTGCTCGTGCAAGTACAACAAACCCCTAGCAGCTCCTAAGGCAATTCTTTTCCTTGTGCCCCAACCTAAGGTTGGTTTGGCTGCAATGACAGGAATCAGAAATGTTATGGTGTATTTGGAGTGATATTATTTAAGCCCTGAGATAAAAAGAGGAACAATTCTTTACCCTTGAGGCGAGAAGCAACACTTCCATTGGACATGTAGGGGTAAACAAGGAGTCTCTCTGTTGCAGTTATACAGAATCCATAGAGCTTTAGTAGGTTACGGTGAACTGCAAGACTTATCATCTCAACTTCAGTCTGAAACTGCTTTTCGCCTCCAATGGCATTTCCATCTTTAAGCCTTTTTACAGCTACAACTGTTCCATCATGGAGACGACCTTTATAAACGTTTCCAAAACCTCCCTTTCCAATCAAGTTCTTGCCACCGAAGTTGTTTGTAGCTATCTGAAGTTCTTTGAAGTGAAACCTCCTCAGGTTACCAAGGTTGATTTCTTCATTACGCCTCTCTGAAAATATTAAAACAGTGTGTTTACAGAGACAAATTAAGGTTTTTTTTAAGTGAATTTAATTCTTTTTTCACTAACCATTGACAGTATCAAAGAATATTTGTTGGTTATGTCTCTGCCTCCACCAGAGAAGAAAACCAGCTATAAGGAGCAGCAGGCAGATGCAGCCTAGGGTTGATCCAAAAGCTAAAGCAATTTTGTGGCTTTTACGTCTTCCTGAAGGTTGTGAGCCTAACAAGCATGCAATGTTAGAGTAATTCTATCTGAAGAAGGTAAATAAATCATGAAATTAACACTGAAGTCAAAAGGAAGAACATGGCCGGTGTAGGGAAAAGAAGAAGCAACCCAACTTCTTAAAGGGAAATTCTAAATTTCAACTAGAAATCAAAGAGACTTGCAAGATGAGGGAATTATAGTTACTTTGTGAATTATTCAAGGGAAATGGCATTGGCATTGGTCTTGTTCGAAAGCAATCTTTATCAGTTCCAGTGGCACAGATTAAAGGATTTCCCACAATGCTGTGTCAACAAAAAAACGTATAAGAAATAATAAATGGAAAAAAAAAAAAAGTTATGGTTTTCAAGTTTCCTGTTAAAGCAAGAAAAAGATGCGGAAAACTATAGGAGTGACGATTTACTTGAAAGTTTTGGCAAGAAACTCTGGTTTAGGACCACTCAAATTATTGAAAGACAAATCCCTGGAAAAATAAGCAAAATCCATATAATCCAGAGTTAGACATGAAGTTCATTTTGGAAGTAAAAAGATAATTGTAACGTCCTGAATTTTACGTCGGAAAATAAGTGCGATTGTGTTTGAAGGATGGAGAGAATTACAGAAAAGTGAGCTGGCTCATGTTTGCCAAGGAGGGAGGCATAAATCCAGAGAGACTGTTATTATTCAGCCTCCTGCAAGTATCCAATTCAAAAGCCAGTCATCAGATTCACAAGATAATTCATAATCTTCACATTTTGAAGAAGAAAAACGGATACTCACAGGTATTGCAAGCTGTTTAAATGGGACAGGGTGCCAGGAATTTGACCAGAGAAATGGTTGTTTGAAAGATCAAGAGTCCCAAGCTTAGGAAGCCTACCTATCTCTGAGGGTATACTTCCTGATATATTGTTGTTCTGTAAGAGTCTGCAAAGCATTCCATGTCATGGTATATGCAAACACAGAAACCGTAAAGCATAATTACAATGATAATTTGGTGCTTACACAAGCTGGAGATTTGTCAAGTTCCCAATACTACGTGAAAGGGCACCAGATAAGTACTGGCTTGGAGCTCCTCTGAAACAAAATCAATACAACCTCTTCAGGGGAGTTCGTCGATCACCTTGTCATCTCTTTTGTTAGTCAATTCAAGATTGAGTTTGGAATTGGTTTTGGAGTATATACTTACATGCCAATAACTTGACCATCCGGAGAACAAGTGACCATAGTCCAGCTGCATGGATCAACAGCATTTTCATCCCAATTGCTAAGAACCCCATAAGGATCAACCAAGAAAGTTTTGATGTCTATTAAAGCTTGAACTGTGGAAAGAATTAGAAACAAACCAAAAGGGGTTATTTCATTTCTGTGTTAGCTTTGGTTCTTCCTTTTGTTTTACAATTCAGAAAACTTCAATTACCTTCATAGTTGACGCCTTTGGGAGAGAGCAACGCACATTCAGAAACACACAGACAGAACAAGACCAAACAACACAAAACAGACTGTTGTTTCCTGAACTCCATTGATGTTGCAGCTCCAGAAAACAAGGTGACTAGAAACCAAAATCAGCTTAGGAGAGCTAGTTAGAATTTTTAAGAAAGGTTCAATTCAAGACAACAAATTCTGAAGTGGGTTTGTTTTGTTATGTGCAATGTACACGTCAGGAGGCACCACAAGTTCTCATGCTTCCCTCACTACATCACAAGCATTCACACACACACTCCCACCTCTATGTCAGATCCAAGAGCCAAGGGCAGCGGAGGTTTTTGGTAATAAAAAAACTAAAAGAGAACCAACATGCCCGCCACTGGTTCAGCAAAAGCAAAGAAAAAAGAATATATAAAAGCTAATCCACCACATTAACCAAATCTAGATAATATTAAAAGATGATTGAAAAAGAAAATTCCTTCATTCATGCACTTGCTTAGAGCACACTCATAGGATGTTTTGGAATTTTGTATTCCATGACCAGATTATAAAATGCAAAGCAAAGGGATCAAGTGAGGTATTAACTGTTAAGCACTGTAAAGAATAAGAATTTGGACTGTTTTTAATCAAAATTTACCACCAGGTGGGTCTGGGGGATTTTCTGTCAGGGAGTGATTGCATTGGTTTGCTAAAGTTTCCACTATGGCTTGTGGGAATCCAACATTCCCTCAGGTTGGCTATTCATTGAAAAACAAAGACTCAAAAATTCCACCTTTGATTGCTTGGGGGTATAATTGTAAGGAAAAAAAGGATGTGAGAATCTCGAGGGTTTGTGCTCGAGATTGATGAAGCCATAGTGCTCCGTGTGAGATCTTTGCTGTGTTATCATTTCCTGGCAATTCCATTCCCTCCCTTCTTTTCATTTCTAGAATATGTTATGCTAATAATTTTACGTGACAATAACCATAATCGACTCTTCTTATGCAGTGAAATTGCTCATTTAACGTACAATCACTTGCTTGATAGCTTATTTGACATATACAATTACTCGCTTGATTATAGTGGCTTTTGTGACCCCCTACCATAATTCACTTGTGTATGTAGCATCTTTATATATTATCACAAACCCCAGTTAGGTTTTTGCTTTATTGATTCTAATTCACTTTATCTTATTTCCATACACTTCACAGTCAACAGACAATCAATCCCATTAAACAAACCAAAAGTAGCCCACTTTAATTATAAAGCGAAAGCTGCTAACTCACTCAACCTCTCTCTCTTTCTCCCTCCTTTTCCCTTTAAAGTTTAAACACAAACTGGTGGGCCTATACATCTGATGATGTCTGTGAACGTACACATCCATCTGATGTAGATCATATGGTGATGATCCCACAAGTAAGCACCTTTTGTGGGGCCAACTTTGATCAGAGGAAGCCATGATTCAATTCAAGCAAATTAAGCTGGGTAATTTGCCTGTTTTCATGGGTGCACGTGCAACGGAGACCCCACAACTTGTTTAACTTGATCCTCAAAGCTCTTCTCTGGACCAATTGCTAATGCATTTCATGATGATCATTTTAACAAGACTAAAGTTGATCAAATGGTTATGATTAATGATCAGACATAAAGGTTACTGAGGGATATCTTAGGTTTTAATTTGGGAATGAGAGGACTATTTCCTGTTGTATAGTCGATGTCCTTTAGTATCTGTACTGAAAAAGAAAGATATATACATGGGATTAGCATCTTATAAGGACATTTAATAATGCATAAGCACTTCGAGTGGCTGATGTTTAGACACAGAAGCTTCAGTCCCATCTCATGGTTATAAGGGGGGCCTATAATTTCCATCACTCAACTGGTTTTTTATGGAATAGAAAGGCCAATGTTGGTTGAACCTAATTAATTTCTTTTGCTTTGATAATATTCTTGTTCATTAAAGGAAAGTATTCTTGATGCAATATTCAGGAGGGACTTTGTCTAATTGACAGTATACTTGATTTGGTATCCATTTTTCATGTATGCATCAATTACAGTTTCTAGCAATGGCTTAGAAACTCCAGGAGAAGCATAGCCAAACAAACTCTAAATTTCATATGACAAACAAACCTATGGTTAACTCCATATATATGCGGCTTTAAAACAAATGAAAATTGCATTCCAAACACTAAAAAGGTGATTATGACATTAATTATCTGATTAGCTTAGAGACTTTGTGTTCCATTTTTTCCCATCGGAACAGATGAGGACCCTTTCACCCATTTGATTGAAATGGCTCATTTTTGCAACTAAATGAGAATAGAATTGTGAGACTGGTGCCAGTAGCTTTTCCCTCCCCTCATCATATCTCCACAACCAACAAGCACCTCTCTCTCTTTTTTTGGACAAACAAGAAGCACCTCCACTCGGTAGATTTTATTTTAACTTTTGTTGGCATGGCAAAGATATGATGTCCTTTCTTTGTCTACCCCTTTGGCTTCACTTGGTGATCTATAGAACTCTTTCAATCTTAATTAGAAAAAGATGAATCCAATTGAGAAAAGGGGATTTGTCATAATAGGTCATTGAGCCAAAAGGAAGTCAAACAAGTCGGATTAAAGAGAAGGTTGACCACATGATCCAAATCAAGATATATGAGTGTCCCTAATGAGTAGGAAATAATTGTTCTTTCTTACCACTTGGGTTGTTTTGGAGGATCTATGCCTCCTTTTTGAAAAATTTGTACCAAACCCACATGAGTTTGGCTGTGCTCTCTGTCTCTTGAATAAAAAAAAAGGAAAAGGAAAGGACATCATAAAGCTTACAAATAGTAATAAACTCTCCAACCCCACCTTGTTCCCTCAATCACCTGAATATTTCTCTTTCCCCACCTGCTATTGCCTGGTACTTAATACAGAGAACTAAGTCTTTGATTTCATCCTTCCATGTCATCCCACAAACATGATTTTCACCCCGCACCTAACTCCTTGTCAAGTATGTTTCTATGTCATTTTTCCACAATCCACATGCTTCATATTACATACAGGTTTTTTGTCTTCATCCCCAATTAGAACTAGCTTTTGATTTCTCAAAATGTGGTTTTAGACCTATAATCTATCAAGCTTGGAAGAGATATTGAATATAGATAAATACATTTGTAGAATTGGTGGAAATGCACCATTCAACAACAATTAATGGTATATAGATTGCATAGAGTGGACTACAAAAACAACTTGATATGTCTAAAAAAATTTTTTACATTCAACAGTACTCTCTCGATAAAAGGACTAGAAAACTGAGAAAAGAGTAAATTCCTTCACAAAAAAGGAACTTTCAAAACTTAAGATACCTATAGTGCATGCTTTTCCTTTCCATCTACCACGCATATAAATGACATTTTGCATTCGCCCCACCCTTCCCAAAAACAAAGGAAAAGGAAAATTCCAGTTCCACCGAATAAAAGGAGAGATGGGGTGAAAGCAACGGTCCTCACGCCTTCCCCTCAAACACTACCCAAAAGAATTCTCTCTTTTTTCCTTTTTGATATATCTAGTTGGTGTAACCAATAATGTATGTCAAAATGTATTTGATGCCAACTATTTGATTTAACATGTTTTAGAAGCATTAGGACCAATTATTTGATTTAACATGTTTTAGAAGCATTAAGAAAGCATAAGTGGGGATCATCAACAAGAGGACAAAAGATGATGTACGTACTAAACCAAAAGCAAAAGATAATTCCACCAAAGGGACAAAAAAAAAAAAGGTTAAAACCCTTTTTTGGTCCCTGAACTATTGTACGGACCTCCGATTTGGTCCTTAAACTAAAAAAATCCCTGATTTGGTCCCTACTGTTTACTATTTTTACCCCGATTTGGTCCTTCCGTTAAAAATTGTGTGACGCGGCCTGTTACTTAACGGTTATCAGATGACATGTCATATAGTAATCCATGTGGAAAGTAATATAATCAAAAAGTGATGATGTGGAAAAAAAATAATATAAAAAAATATTATAAAAAATAAAACTTTTTTCTTTTTTTCTTTTTTCTTTCTCCTTCCCCTTTCCAAAGTGATGATGTGGAAAAAAAATAATATAAAAAAATATTATAAAAAATAAAACTTTTTTCTTTTTTTCTTTTTTCTTTCTCCTTCCCCTTTCCCTTTCTC